TGAATCTGCACAGCACTGTGCTATGCTAGCTGCAGCATGGCACAAATCAAAGAGGAGGAAGGATGAGCAGCACCACATGAGATTGTGATTGACAGCACTGAAACTCTCCTGCCTCTGACTGGTTGTTTCTAGCACTGGGAGAAAGCAGAGGAAATAGATTTTTCACAGATTTTCTCTCATACCATACTGTCACAACATAATGATATAAAAATTAAAAAAAAATTATATAAAAGTTACATAATGCAGATTCAATTTCACTCAGGAGAGAACAGGTCAGGAGGGACGTAGGTTAGAGCTTCTGCTGATTCACTCATCTGTTAAGTGGTAAAAGGCACAGGGAACAAGTTAAATATATCAATATGTTGGTAATTTTTTTCCTTAATTCATTATATTCTAGTGAAAATGAGGCAAACAGTAGTTTGTAGCTAAGCTAATTATGCTAAATGGTTGATAATCTCACAGTCTACCCACTTCTCTTGGAGAAAAACTGGGTTATAAATTAACACTCTTGCCTTTTTCTTTCTCTCCCTCTATTTTGTTTTTGAAAACCTGATTTTATAACTTTTCTTAGCAGCATAGTAACCGCCACAGTCGCTGCTGTATTCAGCTGCAGCTTCTACTGACTGTAGCTGCATATGTGACTGTTAAGCTCCAAGCAGGAACGAACCATTTCATGCAGATCCCAGGGGGGTTCAGGGCAAATATGAATGTGTTTTATGGTCTGAAAGGGGCAACATTAAATTTTTACTGCTAAAAACAATCTTTGAAAATACAATATGATTATTTTGTATTTGACAGGGCCCCGATTTTTTATTTTATATCTTTGAACAAAATATAAATAATTAAATTGTGGAGGGCCCCCTGCTGGTCAGGGCCCTTAGAATCGTCATCATTTTTCACGCCTTTACGGCGACCCTGCTCAGGACCAACTAAAACCCCAGTGTCGTTACCTTGAGAAATAATGAGCTCTGGTTAAAACAGGCCTTAATGCCGAAAATGATCAAACATTAAACATCATACAAACGGAGCAGGCAGAGCGACATTCACCGTCCAGCGCTGGGCTCCACTCAGCTCACCGTCAAGCTCACACCAAGTGAAGCAAAGGCTCAAGTTCAGTTTTCCTCCTCCTCATCCTGCTCCCTCTGTAAGCTGTTGACCTGTTTTAATAACTTTTTGTTTTTGTGTGAGCGTCGCCAGTCTTAAATGCTATGGTGATGTCAGCCATGTGAGCAGATAAAGCAGATAAAACACAGAGTCCTTCTGTCCATAACAGAGCGTTCCTTATGAATTTCTTGTAACATTTCTTGTCTATAAAAAGACGAGATTCATAGTTTCTGTTATGAAGGACATTTTAGTTCCAGTAGTCTTTTTGTTTTCCACAATGTAACATCAGTTCTCTTTTTCTATTTTTGTATTTATGTTTGTCCTTAACTTGACCTTTTTTAGCACATTACCTCCACTTTACACCAAACTAACTTTTAGCCACATAAACAGACGTTTTTATTCTATTAGCTTATAAACATGTAATCACATCTCTAATAGTCAAATCACAGACTGTTACCCGTCGGTTCGTCTTGTTGCTCCTCCTCCCTGGTTTCCTCTTGGTCTCTTCATGTCTCTGGTTTGGGTTTATTTTTATTCCCTGGACTTGTTTTTTTTTTATGTTGTTGTTGTTGTAAGTTAGATTTTTATTAAATCTACAACAGATCTTTTCCATCTCCTGCCTGCTGCATCTGGGTCCAAACTTCAACCAACACATCATGACAGACGGTGGTAATCAAGCCACTCTGTCCATCATGGTCAGTTTGGAATGAATATCTGTCATGTAAACATCTAAATATAAATAAAAATATTTTTTAAGAACCACAACAAAGCCTAACCTTGTTACAAAATAAAATAGGCAAAATATTTGCTGGACATGGTGCATATTGTAGTTCTATAGGACCAGATATTCCTGAATTGGTCGGCATGCTTTTTCATCTGTCTGCCATGTTGGACTAAACTACATTTTCTTTGACTTGCAGTGGATTTTCAGTGGTCTGTTGTTGTCTGTGTGCATTTACAAAATAGCAAAAGAAAAGAATCATGGGTGATAAAAAAAGATCTGTGTCTTTTATGAAAAGAATCACATCAGTTCAAATTTTACCATGTTTCTTTTAAATGTGTTTTAAAAATCATTTTACAAGTTTCTTTAGAACAATGAGTTGTTAAAGTTCCTTTGTATGCAGATAACAGCGCAGATCAGTGTCCGTCCTGTGATTGGACAGATCAGTGTCCGTCCTGTGATTGGACAGATCAGTGTCCGTCCTGTGATTGGACTGATCAGTGTCCGTCCTGTGATTGGACAGATCAGTGATTGGTGGCTTCCTGTCCAGCAGGAAGTTGTGAACAGAGTTTAAAAGTTGCTGCAGGACTGCAGACATTCACAGGAAGCTGGATCAGCAATGGCTCTGCTGAAGGTTCTGCTGCTGCTGCTGGTGCTGGGTGAGTCGGAAACTATGGAAACACTGGAGACACTGGAGACACTGGGGACACTGGAGACATGTCCACTGGTTCCAGGGAGGCTGCTGCTCTCTGTGACTCTCAAACTTCCCTCTGATTCTGTTTCAGACTGAAACTTCTTTGCATATAAACTGTGATGCTTTTTAATCTTTAACTGTTTATCCTCTTTCTGTTCCTGCAGCCATGTTTGCACCTGGTTTCTGAGTAAAGTCCTCCTTCCTCTTCTTCAGGTGTTTCAGTGAACTCAGGTGTTTCTCGGCAGAAGAGAATCATTGGAGGTCAAAACTGTGATGACAGGGAGCGTCTTCATCATGTTCGGCTGGAGAGCAGCAGGGGTGATAAA